CTTCCTTCCTTCCTTCCTTCCTTCCTTCCTTCCTTCCTTCCTTCCTTCTTTCTTTTCTTAAGATTTTATCTATTTGAGAGAGAGACAGAGCATGAGCAGAGTGGAGGGGCAGAGGGAGAGGGAGAAGCAGGCTCCCCACTGAGCAGGGAACCCGACATGGGTCTTGATCCCAGGACCCCGAGATCATGACCTGAGCCAAAGGCAGACATTTAACTGACTGAGCCACCCAGGTGCTCCTCTGTCTACCTTTCTGTTCCCCTATGGTTTAGAGAGAAAAGGAAGAGGAAGAAGTAGATCTTCTTACTTCCTTTTCCTGAGCCAAAGGCACATACTGTAGCTGCGATGGGCTATTTACCTTTGTTAATAATATAATAGTATAGGAAAACAATTTGGTTTTCTTCTTTCACTGGGAATGCTTAAATCTGGGAATTTAGGAGATTTTGATTCTCTGTATAACTCTGCCAAAGACTTAACTTCTGAGCCTTCAACACTGTTAGATTCTCTCTTTTCTGCTTATTTTGTGTCAGGTGTGTCTCCAAAGTAAAAAGCAATAGATGACTGTGAACGTAAAGTACTTGCTGACCTAAGACTTAGATGTTTCCATAGATCACCAGGGAAGATAAAGACATAGAAGACAGGGTTAGAAAAATGCATTCTGTTGTTTGCTATTTAGCCCCCAATCTTCCTATTGAGTTTTGATCTGGCTTGAATCATGATTCTGTTTACCTAGATTAGGCATATCGAAGAAACCCATGTCAATATAAGCCTCTTGAAAGGCAGAGTTTTTGACTTCCCAACATTATACTAAAAGCTGCATTTCCTACTAGCATCACCCAAAGTCAACTTGTCTTTTATTAATGTTAGTGAACGATGTTAAACTTTACCTGGGTCCTGTGATCATGGAAAGCAACAAAGTTTAAAAAAATTTCCCCACCCTCCGGAAACAGCTTGCTGCAAAAAAAAAAAAAATTGCCCTTCACCACATGACTTAGATGAGAGGCATAGATATGTCCCTTGTTTACCTATGACAAGGCCAGGCACAGCGACCCCCTTCCTAAATTTCCATTCTTTACCTCACAAATGATTAGCACAACTGCTTGTCTCCATCGATCAATTGGAAAAACATGTTTATTCACCAAACTGTGGTTGAAGTTCTCTCCTCCCTCCGGGTCCCTGAATTTTAGCCAGCATATAATACTTCCTCCTGAGAATAGGCTGGCTTCCGGGTAAAGCATTTTCTGATCTATCCGATTATGCCACCCTTTCATCCCACTTCCCCACATCAAGTTCTTTCTAGCCTTGTTTACATCTTCCTATTAAAAACAAACAAACAAACAAACAAAACTCTTTGTGTCTACTTCTTGACATGCTTACAGATCTTATGGTCAAAGCACTCTCCCTATTGCAGAAGTCCACTCATCTATTGTGATGGTCACTCACTCCCTCTCCCTTATAATGATTCTTTGAAATAAAGTCTCTCTTGCTGTGTCCAGAGTTATTTTTTATGCAACATATTCCAGGAGAGAAGAGTAGAGGTGAGGATGCAGTGACCATTAAAGTGAGGCAGAGGAAGGCTTGAGCCAAGCCACTGACGACACACAGGAGTTTTTGTGAGGCTATGTGGAGGATGTAAGCACTACTGTGAGAAATTTATAATAAAAACACTTCTCTAATGAAGATATTCAAAGACTGCATTCAGAGGTTTGGATGAGTTGACTTGGTAATAGACTAGGTACTTACTTCATGTTCCTACGATGAGGAATGGGGCTTACTTGCATGGAGGCCAAAATGACTGCCTAGCAAAGATTAAATTGTAGTGTTGGTTGATCACAGTGACCAGAACTGAATTTATTTGTAAGAAGTGCAGTTTTGCAAGATGGTGCTCTGAAGATTGTGCTTTCTGCAGGAGAAGAGTGGCTAAAGAAACCAGTGTGTGGTCCACATCCCTTCATGTTGTGCACATCTGAAGTTACAATCCTGGCTAGATACCACTAGCTGAAGTTTTACGTCTAATAGCTACACCTCTGCCTTTTCAGTTCATCAGCTACTGAGTAACCTTGTTCAAAATAACTGTCCCTTAAATGCTTTACATATGGGTGGCTGTGTGTGTCCAGGAGGAAGAATTTCTAAGAGTCATAGATAACTACCAAAAATTTATATGGTCAATAATATTCCAACAGATATATGTGCACACAAATCTTGAATAAGATTTTCACGTACAATAGAAAAGAAGAACTTTTGTCTTAATTTGCCTTATATACTGAGCTGATTACAAATTATGTTTGACTGTTGACTCCTAGCATGACAAATTATCACCAATTGCTAACGAGGCTAGTGGAGCATTCCTGAAAATAGAGGGATTTAAAAAATACATTTTTTAGCCTATCTTATAATAAAGAATAAATTATATGATTTTTTAATGTAATATGTATCCATATCCTGATTTGCTGCATTTATTTTTTCAAGGGTCACCTTCTCTCTAAAGACTTTACGATCCCCCTACCCATGTGGAATTGATCACTCTTTTTATGTCCTATTTTACCATCAACATACTTCTGTTATAGAACCTGTAACATTTTATTATCTTCACTAATTCGCATGCCTGTATCCACCTCCCCACACACTGTAAGTCCCTTGGGGCCCAGATCCTGTTCTCTTAGTTTTTGTATCTACAGTTTCTGGCTTATAGTAGGTGGTTAAATAAATTTCCCTGAATAAATCAATGAACGTTAGCCCATTCTTTTCTAAATGAGGAGTAAAAAAAGTCATTTGTTTTAAATACTTTTTGTTTAAGTCCCTCAGTGTCTTTGTTGGAAATTATTTAAGCCTTTGCTGGGGGACCTTTAAGACTTTTTGGAAATCTGGTGAGGTTATGTGGTATAGATAAACTGGACGTGGTAAGGTACTATTTGGTTAGTGCAATTCTCAGGTGAATGGAAGATCTCATGAACTTTGCGACCTTGCCTAAGTATCGTAGCATGTACAGGTTTGAAGGAGGTTTACTATGATATAAGCTGCTGTCAGAACCCACAGTATGCCTCCTTAAAATCCCTGTTACTGATATGCTGCTAGGCCAGTGACAGTCAATTAATACAGCAATAAATTGCTCAATAAATTTTTATCTTAACTCTCGGGGCCCTATTCCTCCTGTTTCTCTCTGTGACACTTTATTGCCTTTTTGGTCTTTAATTCAACTTTACTCCAGATTAGGGTTCTGCCTTTCCTCCAGCATTTTGGATATTCCATTGTGAATCTTGTCTAAATTTGGTCCTCAACTTTTTTTATTTTTTAGTTCTCTCTTTTTGAATAGCTTTTAGTATCTTATACAAATGTCCTGAACTGATTCAGTTGCTAAATTCCTTTCTTTCCACATCCCATTTAGATACATAATTGTCTATCCTTTTAGAGTCTGGCGTAGAGTTGACCCTCCATTTCTGATGCCAGGGAGAATCTAATTAAGCACTTAGGTGTCACCTCAGGTCCACCAAACGCTGGGCTTAGCAACTCAGCTTCCTAATAACAATACTATAAAGATGAAGGCAAATTGCTTTATGTATAGAAAGTCCATTAAAAAATATCCCCAGGTAGCAAAAAGAAAGTATAGCTTAGCAGGATTATTTCATCCATCCTAGGGTCTATTACTTGTTCCTTTTCCTCAGTACCTTGACTCATGGTTCTCAACATTTAGTGTTTTCTCTTGCTTATGACTTTCGTTTACTGGCTGACCCCATCCCAGATGAAGCCTCTTCTGTGGAGTGGTATATATCATATACTTAATTCTTCCATTTATAGGTCACCCAAGAGGCTGAATGTATATCTAGCCTCAACCTTGTCTTTGAGGCTCCTATTTCCCCAAGAGAATGGCTCCAGATTTTCACACTTATTACCTGAGTGTGAATATAGATATGTTGCTGGCAAATCTGAGCATACCTTTTGTCAAACTGATCATCAGTGGAAGCTATATGTCTCTGAGGCCAGGCAAGATAAATATTGTAATACCACATATTCCCAAATCTTGGTAAGTCAGAACCATTA